CAAAAATACAAAAAAAACTATAGAAAAGGGAAGGACATTGATGTCAAACGAATATGTATCTTCATTCATCCTATTTTTTGTGTTGTTTTTTTGTGTGACATCTACGTCTTTTAGTATCAAAACTACGTGTTGTGGCCTTAATTTTATGTATTGCATTATGACGTTTTGTGAAAAATCTGTACGTGATGGAGAAAAATGGATATCATTTTCGGAATCAGCGTACAGGAAATTACCGTAGAACATGTAAAAATTTCAAGACAAAAAAACCATCGCAGGCCTGTGTAATCTGTTATTTCGATAAACTGTTATATGCGATCTTGCTTGTTCAACGCTGACCAATCAAACATAGTCCGTGGACTCAAACATGAATTTTAACTTATCGGTACTACAAAGGCTTGCAAATTCTAATAGTTTTTGTTGTTGTTTTGTTTTTAACTTGATGATGCCTATGGACAACACTAAGCTCTGATAAATTTCGGGGAAGAGTAGCTTATGCCTAAATTTTGGGTCAAAAAGGGTAAATTTTAACAAAAGTTCCTAAAAACTGGAATAATTTTGTACACATTCTTCTGATGCATTTTAAATAATTTTAAACTTACAAACAGAGTAGTAAGCCTCTACCTATCATGTGAAAGAGTTTCATAAGTATAGCTTTATAATTTCCACAACTTTGGGGTAAAAATTCGATTTTTTTACCTTATAATACCATCAATTTGAAGCAGCGTATTCATTTTTTCCCTGATTAAAGGTTGAACCTAAAATAAAATTATAAGTTTATAATCAACGTTAGTCATGCAATTCTTTAATTAGCGAAATACAACGTTTATTAGTTTTTTATAGTAGCTACAACTATATAAGAATAATTATTTTACATCATTCAATTCTATAAATTAAATATGTGCACCACCTTGGATTTCACTTCGACAATGCTGCAATATTCCCTGAAAATTTCAGCTGACTGCCATCTATGAGATTTTATGTGAATTAAACCTCAATATATTTTAGTTAATCTTTTTTACAAACAAAAATAAAGATGTATTACTTTAAAGTGATTTGTCATTTTAAAAGCAAATGATAAACGTAATTAAAGTTGATAACCTTGTGAAGTTGAGTCTACATATTAGTGGCTTCATTTTTTTATATCTTAAAATTACGACAGAATTGCATGTTTAAATAAAAAAAACATTTCGAATTGAACTGCAAAGGTTATGCATTGATTACTATACATAAAGATCAACGAGACTATGAATGTCCTAACTGAAAAACACATCTGCTGCCCTCTGCAACAGGTGACCAACAGAACTATAGATTTTGCACAACACATCTGGTGTCTATATCTATATTATTATTTATAAAATAGATGTTTATCAATCGGTACAGTTTATAGGAAGAAAATACAAGTTTAATTTCAAAAAATAAGTTCACAACGATTATGAAATCTATATTAGACAACATAGGTACTTTCATAGGCTTATCAACAATATATGGGAAGACGAAAAGTTACGGTCGTTTTCCCGCGTTCTCGCCCATAACGCATAGAGGCAATTTGTTATGGTTTGACATAATTTCACACTAGCTGCATTCAGGCGTTAATGTAACAATGAGAGAGGTGGTATATAACAACTGAAATGTTCGATTTAAGCCGCAAGTTGCTTTTCCGAGAAATTTATCAGATTCTAGAGTTGCCCATAGAGGTAGCTTATTTATTAGAATTTTCCACTCTAGATATACCAAGGTCTAATAGACCATACGAAAATGAATCACAAACGCGAGAACAAGATGAGTTCTATAAATTAAATATGTGCAACACCTTGGATTTCACTTCGGCAATGCCGTAAGATTCCCTAGAGGATGTAGGCATAATGGAGGACGTTAAATGCTTCTATTATGTATGATTTAGGTGCAAATATTAAATTATAGGTCATCTTTGTTAAGTGAAAGAGTTATTTGCCATATTATAAAATTATTCAGATATTTCTGATAACATCGCCATGGCAACAAAGGGTTAATTCAGCTCAACAATTTGAATAGGCCTAACCTTTCACTTATGACTAAATTGGATGAATAATATTAAAAAAGGATAGTTTTAAAATTTCTTTCGTTGCCTGTATTATATTATATGTAACATACCTGTAAATGTTTGTAAATATACTATCTGCACCGTAAAAATGAACTAATGCAAGAGTCTATATTCCCTAAAACACTATTTTTTTAGTGCTGAGCCGTTTAGTTTCGTACCTTCTTATCGATAACATTAACTGCGAGCAAAATTATACGACACCTAGTTGGTACTTTTCCTTAAAATATTTAGTATTTATTTTATTATTTTGTATTTCCATTATTCAGAGACGTAGGAGTTTGAGGCAGAGGGAACGTGTCCCCAATAATAATTTCTAAATAATAGGCTATTTAAATCATGTAATTAACCATTATTATTATTCTGTCGGTATTTTAAGGTCAAAGAAATACTACAGTTTGTTACATTACATTTGGTTGGTCTAAACACATATATTAATATGCTTTAAATTTCATCATACTGAAACAAGACATAATTTATGCTCATTTATAAAATCAAGCTACTACCGACTGTGTTATGAGCAATTATTCACGTATTTGTGGCAAGAATTGTCTTTTGAAAAAATAACTACTTAGAGGTTATCTGTAAAATGTATTCTAATGTTGTTGTGTTTTTTTTTAGCAAACCCAGATAATGGTATCACTTTAAAATAATATGTATGCGTATGTATACTAAGTACTTAAAGTTATTTATATACTATATTAATCGCTTAAATGTATTGTTTTTACCAGTAGGTAAAATATAGCATATGTGTGTTATCTTCTTGGTTGCATTAAATATAATATTATAAATTAGTAATTGTTTGACGCCCCCCAACCTAAAAAGTACTCCTACGGCACTGTTATAAGTCTTCTATGGGGGGAGATATAAAATATTTCTAACGCTTCTTTATATTTTATTTTTAAAAAAACTTAGCTACTTTACAAAATATAAAAGAACTAGTAGAGAAATATTTTTAGAAGTGAACTAAATTTCAATATATATATATATATATTCGTTGCAGTGGCGATTTTAATATATATATATA